GATAAGAAGATCTTCAAAAATATAGATTGACACAGTGACTGTAACAATGGGCTTAAGTATATCAGAGTTGATGTGAATGGCACAGGACAGAGCAGGGTACAGTTCATAGAGGTGTCATGAATCATGGTCGTCTTGATAGCACCTAACAACAATAACTGCAACATCAACCAGCATGAACACATCATATTACCCCAAAACATGCTTTAATTAGAAACAACCCAAGTGCCCATCAACAAATGGATGGCTAGAGAAGCTTTGATATATTTATACAATGGAATACTATGCTGCATTGAAAAACAAGGAACTCCTCAAATATTATACAAAATGGATAACCCTAGAGGACATTATGCTGAGCTAAATATCTCAGTCACAAAAAGACTAATACCGCATAGTACCACTGTTGTAAAGTGGATCTGACATCGGTCGGAGTTGGGGGGAATCTAAGAGGGGATAAAAAATGTATACTGCATTGAAACAGATGAAGGAGAGAACTGTTTAGCAGAAATCTATGATTAGGTATTATTTTCATTACAAGAGTCCAGAATGAAAGGTGCATAGTGGAGTGGACTGGGGGAAGGGGATTGTATAACAATGAAAGATTTTTTTCTTTCTCTTTACTTTTCAAAGAGAAAAGCAAACCGGGGGGGGGGGGGAGGAGTGGGCAAGGAGGAAAGTGTGCAACAATACATGAACGGAAATCCAAAGTCTCTGTAAACTTTAATTTTTTTTTTTAAAAAAGCCCCCACAAAACTTTATTCTGAGATTTTATTAAAGTTTTAAAGAACAAAGAAAGAAAGAGCTTAAAGCTCAACTTGTAGTTAGCCAATACTTTTCATTAATATTTGTATCACAGGAAATCTTCAGTGATACCATCAATTAAAAAAAAAAGAATTATTTTACTAGAAAAACAAGTATACTTCTCATCAGTATACTTCTCAACAAATATAGTTCTCATGAAGACCTTCAAGGATGTCAGCATTCAATTGTAAGACATTGACTCTCTTTAAGTTGCTGTATATTTTTGTGTTTTTTTTAGGGATGATGTACAAACTGGGGGGAAAGCACAAATCTATGTATAGGCTCAAACGATCTATTCATTTATATTACTAGATCATTCCATTGTCTCTTTAAAGTAAGTTTTTATTGTAGTTATCAGCTTAAATGTCTTAAGTCTGCACTCTAAATTCAAATTTAAACGTTATAGAAATTTTTAACATAGCACAAAATACAAGTCCTGCTATTTATTAATTGCTTCTGTAGGAAAGATTGCAAAACTATTCAGAGGAGTCGGATGAAAGTAAAGAAAACTGTCATAATAAATAGGTTGTTTTTGTTATGGCCCATCAAATAAAAACCAACACAATTATTTTATTATATCCACTCTTTTTTTTTTAATTTTCAATTTTCTTATTTTTGTGTGAGTGTACTGTCAAATCAGATCTGACTGATTGTTCCTCCTTTTCCCGGCAGAGCATCTGGTGGATTCGAACCTTGTGCCTCTGGGATTGTAGTTGCAGCTCCTTGCCACTAGGCCACCAGAGCTCCCCATGGATTAATTTTTTTTAAATGTTGTATATTGTTGTTGCTATTTTTGTTAGGTGCCATTATGTCGAATACGACTCATAGTGACTATATGAACAACAGATCTGAACCTTGTCCTATCATGTGCTTTCCCCATCGTCTCTGACATACTTGAGTCCATTGTGGCAGTCACAGTGTCAGTCTTATTTCTTTGAGGATCTACCTCTCTCCTTTGATTCTCCTCCACCTTTTCTAGCATAATTTCTTTTTCCAAGCAATAGCCTCTCCTGGGAACATGTGGAAAATATGTGAGACACAACTTCATCATTCCTATCTCCAAGCAGTTCTCTGGCTGCACTTTTTCCAAGACATATCTATTCATTTGGAAGTGCATGGGATATTCAGTGCTCTTCTCCAGCCCCATGATTCAGAGGCATAAACTGTTCATTCTTCTGTCAATTCTCATCCATTGTCGAGCTCTCAGACACATAGTAAGTGACTGAAGAGACCTTGGCCTGAATCAGGCACACCTTAGTCTTCAAACTGACATCATTGCGCCTCAGAAATTTCGAGAGGTCCCTGACAAACTTTCCCAATGAAAGGTGTCTCCTGATCTCCTGACTGCTAGTACCAAGGGTGTTGATTGTGTTGAAAGTGCTGCATAGTCAACTATATCTTCAATTTCTTTCTTTTTTTTTTTTTTGTGTGTGTGTGTATGTGTGTCTGTGTACCGTCAGATCAGATCTGACTGGTACAGGAGGAGATTGTCCCTCCTTTCCCGGCAGAGCATCTGGTGGATTCGAACCATGCGTCTCTGGGATTGCAGTGCAGCTTCTTGCCACTAGGCCACCAGAGCTCCCCTCTGAACTAAGCATAAATACCAGAAATTTTTCTCTAAAAATCTTAATGCAGCATTGCATTTTCTCTTCTTTCTGATCAATATTCAAAAATTCTTCTTTCAAAATATTACTTCTGTTGGATACCTTTCCAAAACAGCATAATGTTAAAGGAAAGAGGGAAGGAAAAATGCTAAAATATATTTTTAGAATGTGAGTCTTAATAAAGGGAGTGAACTTGTGGAGTTGGAATAGATCTGAGGATTTTCCAGTCCATTTGTTTGCAAGCAGACATGTTCTATCTCTTCAAGGTTACAGTCAACTTCAGGGCAGAGCCCATGAGTTATTTATACAGGAAGGACATAAAGTATTATAGACACTCTTTAAAAATCCTTAACAAGTAAATGGATTAACTCCAAAAATTTGTAAAAGCAGTTTACAGAAGGAGGTTTCAGATTTTATCTCAAAAAAATTTCTCAGTGTCTTAAACCTTTAATTAAGAAATCCTCCCTTTCATTTAATCTACCTTCTTTAGTCTTTGCTTCAATTTTAGACCATTTCTTCTTGTTCTTCAAGAAGGGTGGAGACAGACTGTACCATTTTTTCCCCATATTCATTTTTCTGTCTTTACAGTGACCTCTCACAGTGTTTTATTTAAAATAAGTAACCAATTAACATTTAAAGGCTGTATACATAATATGTTTCATTGCCCTTTATTTTTTACAAAATAGTCCAATTTATTTCATTCATCTTTAACAATCTCTATTTTTTCATGTGTTCTACATTAAGCTCTACTTTTTTCTTGCCGTATTTAAGTGTTAAATTGAATATGTACTGAAACAATAAGGTTTCTTTTAAAGACTTGGAGGTTTACGTTTGTTTTAATAGTTCAAAGAGCAAGTTGGTCTGAGAGCAGTACAGTATTGTTTAAATAGCAAAAGCTTGTATCCACTGTGGTCTCCAGATCTTTTTCTAAGAACATAATCTTGTGGCCCAAAAGAAACCATAAGCTTTTAATTTTTAACCAAATCTCAAGCAGTCTGTTAAACTGATCATTGTCAACATCATCAGAAATGAGGACTAAATCTCAAGAATGTAGTACATAAGGGGGGAAAAATGAAGTGACATATATGGATCCTATTTCTTGATAATCTAAAATGATATATTACCCAGTAATTCTGTATCAACAACTCACATACTCACTTATTTATTGCCTTTGAGTCAGAACTGACTCATAGCTGTAAATGACCTATGAGGATTTCTGAGCTATAAATCACAGGAGAGAAGATTGTCCATCTTTCTCTCAGGGAGATCCTAATTGACTCTAATTTCCACAGAGGAGCTAATAATAGTAAACGTTCATACTTAAATGGGTTGATTTGAGGACTAAATCTAAATCTATATTAAGTGCTTAGAACCATACCTCATGCATGTTATCATCATGCCTTTCAGGTTGGCACAATTAATTTTACAGGTAAAAGTTTTGAAGGTCAGGGAGATTGACTAGGTTACACAGCCCATATTATGTCAGAACCTCAGCCCAACAAGTCCTGGGAGCTGGTTCTAGAGCCTGCCTTTTTCACACTATCCCATGCTGCCAAAACATTCACCACACACAAAGCTGAAAGTATCCTCCATAATAATTGTCTATAGGTCTTTTACATTCACAACATGTTACAGAAGCTTAATTTTCCATTCTAACTGATTTTAAGTTGAGTAGAACCAAAAAGCAATTATACTGTCGAGGAAGAACTTGCACATACAATTAACTAAACTAAAGCAGGGAAGGAGGAATGCAGACGGGAAATCTGCTGAACGGCAGGTGCAGAATTATACATGTAACAAGCCTCTTACATTATTAACATAGTATCCTTTTGTTGTTGTTGTTGTTGTTGTTGTTGTTGTTGTTATATGCCAGCGAGTTGCTTGCGACTCATAGCAACCCCATGTACAAGAGCCCTAAACCCTGCTCTATCCTGTGCCAACCTCTGACACACCTACTCGCATTACTCCCAGTCACTGATTTGATCCATCTCATTAAGGATCTTCCTGTCTTGCACTGTCCCTCCATCCTCCCAAACATGATGTCCTTCTCCAAGGACTGATTCTTCCTTGCAACATGCCCGAAGTATGTCAGACAAAGTAGGCATCATATCTATTGTATAGCTGGGAAAACTCAGACTACACTTGTTTGAAGTATCAAGAAAGATGGGGTCAGACTCCTAAGCTTTTTCTTAAATGGATGGCTAAATTCAATGTAATGAGATGTTGTTTTGTACACTCTTGTAAAGCAATTCTGGAAGTATCATTACCTTATTAAGGGAATTAAGAATTCAGGTAGCTTTGTGGATAGGAAGCTGTGCTGCCAGCCCAATGGTGGTCAGTTCAAATCCACCAGTTGCTCCAAGGGGGGGGGGGGAAGATGAGCCATCTCCTCCCATGAAGTTTACAGTTTCTGAAAGTTTCTGGAAAAAAAAAAAAAAACAAAAAACTCGTAGGCTAGTTTTGAGTCCGTTTTCTCTCCACAACAGTGAATTTAAGAGTTTAATTTTCCCAATTTCTTAAGCCTGATGTCTGACTTTCTTGAAAGTGACTTCTTCTTGACTTCATGTTGATGAATTAATGTTTCTTTTTCTCTTTCAGAGGAGATTTGCACCCTAGTAATTGCAGAAACTTTCCCTGAGGATGCAGGGATCTTTACATGCTCTGCAAGAAATGAATATGGATCAGTCACCAGCACTGCCCAGTTGGTGGTCACCTCAGGTATGTGAGGAGTCGCAGTGAGGAAGGTTTTCTCCCCTGCACTACCGTGTGGTTTGCCACAGCACAAAGGAACTGTCCCAAGACGTGTGCTCAGACTCCAAGAATGCTTGCTGCTGCTCTTGGACTTAGCCTACCAATTTATGTTTCATCAGGAAACAAAAGGCTTCAAGGGAGGAGGGTGAGAGGGAGTGAAAGTGAAGAAGGAAAACAAAACAAAAGGTCATGTTAATGTTGCCACAAAACACATGGGGGACTATTTTTTAAATCACGTCATCTTGATGGTGGAAAACAACGGAGACATTTTCCAACCTCCTCGTGTTAGCACAGAATCACATTCCCAGCAGAAGGCCACCTCTCAATTGGAGGTGCTGGCATTGTTCCCAAGACTGCCAACTCACAAGACCCGGAAACACTTGTACAAATAAATCACTGCCTAACCCACCACCTCGGTGTCTGAAAAAAGCTATAGAGAGCAACCTACTGTAATTTGGGGAAATTGTAACGTGCTTCCAAATCATGTTCCATTGATAATTGACTATAACTAATTTGGAAAATAATCTATAACCCTATTAAAACCAGTATTCAAAAGTATCTGGATATGTTTTAAGCTTGGTTGGAAACTTGTAGTGGAAAAGGCCTGTAAGCCTGTGTTCACCTTTGTTTTTCTGTGCTTACTGTCGTTATTATTTTCTACTCACACGTTGGTGTACTGGAATGGCCTGACCTCTGTTAGGCACTTTACAGTTATTTTGAAATTATCTCTCTGGCCCAGTTGTCACACTGAACACACAGAAGGGACTCAGTAGATGTTCTCTGTTTTCTACATGATTTTAGAGAGTAGAAATGACACTGAAATTCTTTGAGAAGCGAAAACTTGGTGCTAGGTGGCAGCAGAGGCACAACCAAAACTGGCTCACGAATTTTACAGAGGGAATTAGAAAAGGTTTTCCTTCCAACTTAAGAAAGAAATGTCAGGTTCACCTTAGTGGGGAAACACTTGATCGTCATGAGTATGTTCAGTGCTCAAAGGAAATTCTAGTAGTGGTATGAATGGAGCTACAGAATGAGAAAGAGCCTAGCATTCTGACTTCGAGTTGTATTGAATGAAGTCAGTTCCATGAAATGACCATAGCAGGTGAGCTCTAATCAGACAAGGCTGGAATCCTAGACTTCAGAAGTCTGTGTGGCACAAACTGGTATGTCGTCTTTCCCACTTCCTCTATCTCATCCAGAGTCACTTGGCTACTGGCCAAGCATAATAAACATTTTTGTGCTTTCTCTTTTCCACAATAAGCATTTCTAAGTGCATGCCAGGAACCCTACTGGCCCTGTGCAAGATGAGGAATACAAAAATTACAGGATCTCAAAATAATTCAGTCTGTTGACGAGAACCAGTAACCATCCTTTGCATGGCGTGGACAGTGGTGGTAACCAGCTGACAGGGAAAGCGGAAAAAAAGACTTTCTATGAGCTCATAAAATGTTCTTCCTGGATTAAAATATTAACTTCCTTATTTTAAAAATAGAGCAACTATCCACCGCCTGCAATGTAAAACTTTTATAGCTTGAGCCAAGATCAGAAAGGCATAGGTAGAACAGAACATTCATTTGAATTCAAAAATGTAAAATCTGAGCATACAAAGCCTTACTGATATTGTTTACATTATCGTTTTTAAAAAGCCCACCAAAACCAAGTTCTGTCTTTTGTTCCTGGCTGAAGTTTGTCAATTAACCAGAAGCTGGTTTTCCAAAGCGTGTTCCTAAGCAAGACATTAGATAGGTAGCAGCTGCTGAAAACAAGTTTGGAAGAACCAAAACCTCTGGCTATCTTTGCTTCTGCATCAAACGGTAGCAACTTTTTCTTTAAGCAACTTAACAGGGCACTGGGGATTTTCAGAAGATCTATTACAGTGTGAAAATAATTTGTTGAACCAGTAGCATCTTACTATTCCTCCCCCCCCCCTTTCTCTTTCCTTAGCCAACAGCGAAAACTGTAACTATGACTCAATGGGAGAGTCCAACAATGATCACTTCCAACACTTTCCACCTCCCCCTCCAATCCTGGAGACAAGTTCTTTTGAGTTGGCTTCAAAGAAACCATCTGAGATCCAGCAGGTGAACAGCCCTGACTTAGGACTTAGCATGGCAGCCCTTCAAATGCAATTCAATTCAGCTGAGAGGGAAGCTAATGGAGTCCATCCCAAGCATGGAGTAAACGGACTGATTAATGGCAAGGCTAACAACAATAAATCTCTTCCAACACCAGCTGTCCTGCTTTCACCCACTAAGGAGCCACCACCTCTGCTTGCCAAACCAAAACTGTGAGTATTTTTTCATGGTTTTATAATACTTTCCATACCCCTGCTAAATTTCCTCTCTGGTCAGATAAAATTTTTGGTTTTTGTTTGTTTTTTTTTTGCCTGGACTCCACTCTGTGGCAAGTTGCCCCTGCTGTAAGCAAGTCATTCTTGGCTTCTGTAATCTTGCTGCCAATGAGAGATACTTCAAAATGCAAGAGCTGTTGGAAAATGAAGAAGGCAAATTAGAAACGGAGTTTAAGTTGCTCTTTGCTAAGTTGCTTTAACCAGCTAGGACTGTGGGGAGATCTCCCCATCAGTGAGGAGAAAGGGTTCACTTTGAATTTAAACTATCAGAATGGTGATCTGATCCAGATTAGCTGGAGAAGACTAAAAATTAGGGATGGAAATGCTGTGTGCCCAACCTGGAAAGAAGAATGAAACTGAAGATAGTAGCCCAGCTTGTTGAAAAGCACTCCCTTCACAAGAGAACCTACTTGGCCTTGGAATCCCGTGGAATTGCATATTTCCATGAATACCACTTTCACATTTGATTTCCATTATTTTCTTAGGATGATAAACCTTGCATGAGTTGTTTCTATTGGCACCACACAGCACAGAGTTGTTATGAATGGAGCCATTACAATGTCAGAGTGAGGCAGGAATAAATTAAGGCAAAAGGTCCTATCACAGAATAGCAGAACTTGAATTACTGCCTTGATGGAAAGAAGAGGAAATCTAAGAGGCATATAGAATGTATGTATACTCTTCAAGTTCACATTTCCGTGGCAATAAATTCCCTAAGATCTAGGAAAGCCCCTGATATTTTCCCATGTTATGTGATGATTTTTATTTGGGGCAGGAAGGATTTCTTTAAGATAGGAGTTCTTTATTTCACTGGTATACCAAATAAGCTATTCTCTCCTCTCTGGGTTGGAAATGTTAGAATTTTGAGGGTATTCAAATAAAAAAATATCTTACATTTGTCTATCACCTTAATGTTCCTTGTGTAAGATCATAAGCATATTTTAAAAATTCTCAAACTCATTGTTGTCAAGTTAGAATTGACTCATAAATGACTCTCCAGGAGCTATAAATCGCCTGGGATGAGACTATCTTTTTCTCATAGGGCAACTGGTATACTCAACCCATCTGCCTTTGGGTTGGCGACCAAACTCCTTATCCACTAGGCCACCAGAGCTCCCTTTATGAGCACATTAGACTAACCAAATCAAATAGCCTGTAGAAAAACTTCCTTCAATTCACTGATAGCTAGGAGACTATACAAAAATTTCTTTTCTGGCTAATTTTATGTTGCAGTATGAAAAACCTTCATACTTCATTGTATCCTACTTTGCATTCTATCCACAACTCTTCTCCAGCAGTAGGGCTCCAACGTCACAGTGTGAAACTTGAGGTTGGATGTTTAATACCTATGTTTGAGCTCCACTGAGAGGCTGCACAGGTGACATAAGCCAGAAAGTGGCAGCCTTTAAAGAGATTTACGCTCTTGGACACCCCCTCCCCCGGCCCATAAAATTAATTGTGCCTGCTGACTGCTTTCATCTTTGCGTTTTGAATATGTATTTGCAGTACCTTTAATGAAATAAGGGCCTTGCTCTCCTGGGGAAGAAGGGAAAATGTGTTTAATGACTAGAACTTGACTGTGCTCCTGATTAAGTGAAGTGTATCTCCCATAATGGTCATCATTAATTGGATATAAATCACAGGAGAGCAAACATTAGGAGCTGTTAACAGGCATTTACAGCCCTTCTTATCTCGGGAGTTTCAACAGCTCTTCAGTCTTGAGTGCTGCTTTATAGTGATGTTAGTGTCTGTGATAGGTGGGGGCACATCTACAGCCCAAAAGACAACCATTTAGTGAGTATGAAGAGGATGAGTAGTGTAAGCACAATTTTTTGAGGAGGGGGGTGGTAGATTCTTCCATTTAAATCCATATACTTAACTTTTTCATGTTGCCCTATCATGTTGTTAACTACACATTGTGTCTACTGAAAAATTGAAAACATACACAAAGGAAAGAAGAGATGTATGATGACCCTTTATGTAACCACAATCCAATATCCCTACCATTATCAAGTCTTTATCATACTTGCTTCACCTATTTTGTTTTCTAAAGAATTTGAAAACTATCCTCAGACGTTATGTCATCCCATCCCACACACTTCAGTATATCTCCAAAAATATGCATCCTGCTCACATTCCTATACAAAGTTAACAATGATTTCTCAGTGTCACAGGAAACACAGTTTGGAGGTAAACAGCATTTCCCTGTGACCTCACAGTTGACTCGCTTGACCTCGCTGGCCAGGCAGGTGTCCCCTTCCTCCTTCACTGCTGCATGTGCCTCCCTTCAGAACCTAAACACTGGGCTTAAGACGATCGCCTGCACAATAGAAGACTATCCTTCGGTCACCTAGCTGTGCTCCCCAGCTAAGACCTCTAAGTAAGTTCTCAAAGGCCCATTGAAGGTCCTGTACACAGTCCATTCCTCTAAGTGTCTCCCAGATTCTCTTCCGGTTGACTTGTTTGAATCTGATTTCCACAAGGGCTACATATTAGGTGAGGCTGTACCTATGTTCTTGACACGAATGACTGACTTCACGGCAATAACGGCTCCAGCACGGCAGCAGTCATGATGATGGGCAGGATGTGGCAAGGTTTCAGTGCCTTGTTCATAGAGTTGCTATAACTCATAGTCTGTTTGACAGCTCCTAACAACCACAAGTAATTTTTGGCAAACATCTTTTTATTTTTTCATACATTTTTCCCCCAGTTTTCCTCTTGGTTTGCAGTGAAAAAAAATAATGGTTTGATAATTTTTAATTCTATGGTATTATTCCTTTTTTATGAAAAAAGAGACTTCTGTTTTCGTGCCGTATGGTATTTTATATATGACTTGCAGTAAAACGACTAGGAAGTAGAAGAGAGTAAGTAAAAGGAATTAAAACGTAGAGCCCACTGATACATTAATTTGAATATGGTGTTTGATCAGACAGATTTCTCAAAAGAAGTCATTTTCCAAAGAAAAATCACACTGCATTTTTTCCCCGGAAAACTTCAGTAGTGATTACAGGAAGAAAGACACAAATGCCAGGAGCTCTTATTCACTGGCAAAGCTCAGCCCCCATCCTTGAGTAACCAGTAAGTTCCTAACCAATAATACTGTAACCAGCTTGGACCTGCAGGTGGGTCAATCATACCTGCCATGGGCCTGAGTTTCAATATTATGGAAGTATCCATTTCCACTTCTTTATCTCCCCTTATCTTTGTAGTCACTATCTTATTTGACACGCTTCCTTATATAAGGCCTGTTGTTGTTGGATGCTGTCAGTTCTAACTCCTGGTAACCTCATTCGACAGCACAGAGTTGGCCCATAGGCTTTTCTTGGCTGTCAACTCAATGAGATCAAATTTTCCAAAGAAATGCTTGGAGAGTTTAAACTGCCAACTTTTGTGTTAGCGGCCCAGCACTCAAGCTTCTTAAGGAAAGGCTATGAATGACTAAATGTTGGCCATTTGGTAAATGTGAGAACTCTGCTACTATAGTGTATAACATAATGGGCTGCCAACTGAGAAGTCAGTGGTTCGAATCCACAAGCCAATCCTTAGGAGAAAGATGAGCAATCCCCCAAGTAAATACTTAAAGCCTCATAAACCTGATTGAAAGTCATTATGAGTCAGAATCAACATGGCTACAGAGGGTTTCATGCCCTGGAAATTGGATTTGAGAAATACCTTACTACTTACACTGGGATTACAAACTAGACAAGAAAGCCTTAATAAAGGAAAGTCCATCATGTTATTCAGGGTCTGACATGCATAAACTATGAAAATACAAAAGAAGCAACATGTTGATTAAATCATATTTTTGTCACAAGAAAACATTACTCTTGTAGCCATTAGTCATAATCTTTTCCTTATTGTAAGTGTACCAAGTAAGTCCAATGCTCCCCTCACATTACAAATGGTGCCTGAAGATAAAAAATGTATGACTTAATGTGCTAATAAATAAAAAATTCATTACCATTGAGTTAACTCCAACTCAAATGAAGGAGAGAATGGAACTATTCCACAGGGCTCCCAAGGTTGTAAATCTGCTCCCACAGAGCAGGAGGTAGCTTGGTTAGGAGCTACATGCCTTAATCAGAGACCCAATAGCACTCTATTATATGTCAGTAGGTTAAAATATCATGTTCCTCATTATTCATACTAAAACTTAATTCTTCAAATGCATGGATATGCCTGGGGTCTCCAGATATAAACCCTCCAGGGAAACTTGTGAATGCCAAATTTACAAGGGAGTTTGCAGAGCATGTTTAGGAAAAAAAAAAACATATAAAAAAGCATGTTTCTCTACTGTGTTCACCTCCTAATTTATATCACACAATTTTGAGATAACAACATGATCTTTATAAATCCCATTGATTTCTTCCTTTTTAATATTCTTTCTGTATCTTGTGGGAGGGGTATAAAATGTAAGTCTGTGAATGAAGAAGGAAGTTGAGAACTCAAAAGGGAAATTACTGAAGGGCAAACAATGAATAGTTCTCGTATCCAGAAGCAGGACAGGTCAGCAGATAAAATTATTTTTACATGCCAGTTGCTGCTGAAAATATATACACCATCATAAAAGGCTATGTTCTTTGTGTGGGGAAATAATAATGAAATCTTAAACCAAAAAAAGTTTGTGCTAAAGTTATAGCTAAGCTAGTCATGAGTTTTACTCATATTTTCCCTACTCCTTTCTCCTTTCCCCACCAACCAACTAAAAAAAAATTCTTTTCTACCTTGAAAGGGTAAATTCATTGTAGGCTCAGAGCTTCTCTTTAAAATATTTCTATTTCACTACCTTTGCTTCTCCTTCTCCTGTCGTTCTTACCCTTTTAGGTGTCCAGTTGCTTCTGCAAACCTATTCTAAAGAAACACACTAATGAACTGTAGCTCTGAAGTGTCATCTCAGACCAAAAATGAAGTTGTTCCTTCATAATAATAAGCAAAAT